GAGCACCGCCACACATAGTGGCGGCCCACCGTTGTCATGTTCCTCGATATTAGAAATGCATTCGATCCGGTGGATAGACATGCACTTTGGGACTGTCTACTCAGGAAAGGTCTACTTGAGAAATATGTAGATATTATCCGAGCGTTATATGCGCGTAGCACGGGCAGAGTGAGGGCTTACGGCAAGTTGTCGTCGCCCTTTAATATCTCCAGCGGCGTGAGACAAGGATGCCCGCTGTCACCTTTCCTCTTCAACTTCGCTGTTGACGAAGTCATGGAAATCACGTTCACAGGACACGACTTTGAAGGTGTGGAGCTACTCCCAGGAGAACAACGTCTCGAGTTGGAGTATGCAGACGACATTGCCCTCATCTGTGACAGCTCACAAACGTGTCAGGCGGCACTGGACAGATTAGCAATGGCTGTCAGCCGCTTCGAGCTATGCTTTGCTCCTTCGAAGTGCAAAGCGTTCCTCTAAGCTTGGCAGAGAACTCCTCCTGCGCTGACCCTTGGTGGGGATCAGCTAGAAGTCGTTCAAAAATTCAATTACCTGGGAAGTTGTATCAGCGCCCGTGGGAATGAAGATGAGATCACGAACCGTATAGCAAAAGCTCGAGACGCTTTTGCTAACCTTCGCCACTTATGGCGCAGCCACGACAGCACTCTCGCCCTGAAGGGTAGAGTGTGCAATGCAGCGGTACGTTCGACCTTTCTGTACGGTTGCGAAACCCGGCCCCTAAGATCGGCGGACATAAAGAGGCTAGTTACGTTCGACCACCGGTGTCTTCGCAGTTTGGCTCACATCTGGTGGGAACACCGCGTGAGCAACGAGCGTGTTCGACGCCTTGTTTACGGCACAGAAAAAGGAAATGAACCGCTCAGCACCGTTATTTCACGCACCAGGCTCCGATGGCTCGGCGACGTGTTACGCATGCCAGCCCACCGACTCCCGCGAAGTGTGTTGTTTGCGCGCCGGGGTGTGGATGGAAGAAGAGGAGGGGTGGCCAAGCGATGACTTGGTCGAGAGGAATGAAGGCCCTCATTTTGAAGCTTGACTCAGTTGGAGCGTCTCAGCTCCTTGGTTGGAGTCCGAAAGACGACGAACACGTTTGGTTGGCTACACTTGTTGATATGGCTAGGAGCCGACCTCAGTGGCGTTCATGCTGTGAGTTTCTTTGTCCCTCCCCATCCCTCTTAGCCTTCTCCTCCAATCACGATCACATTATTTAACATTTTATAATTTTGCAAAAATGGCCGGCAGATAGCTTACCGGAACGATGCCTATCCGTTACCGGTATCTCAGCTGGCTTGCACTTGTAGCATTTTATTCCCTTCTATTCTTTTAGGTATTGCGGCACAGTAGCTGAGGTGTTTCCCACCTCTAGCTAACGTGTATAGTTTGTGTGTGTGTGTGTGTGTGTGCGTCCGAGTGTGTATTATTGAGCGACCGGAGATGCTCCATAATGAAACTGATTCCAAAGTTTGGTGACTTAAGCAATGCAGACAGTTGCCGACTAATTTTGCTGACATCCGTTTTTGCCAAAGTGCTCGAGAAGATCCTGAAGAAAAGTCCACTACCGCTGGTGGAATCGAAAGTCCTTCAGTAATACATGAAAGGTCGCGGATGTATCACCGACTTGTTATTGACACGGTATTTATGGTTGCAACTGCCAAACCAAGGGAAGTTCGTCGACTTGATCTAAAGGTTTTGTTAAAGTTTCGACAAAATAAACCGAGAGGTCCTCCTATAGTTGCGGAGACTGTGCTCTATTTGTGTCTCACTGTACCAGTGAGTCAACGAGTTCCGTACTGGACGGAAGTGGAGAGTACAGGTCGGTTATAATCTAAATGTCTGGTACCACTGCACCCACGGGATAACCCAGGAGAAATATTTCTGATCCACATCAACGAAGTGCCTCAGCTCCTTCTGTCAGCGTGTTCCTTGGTTGCAGACGACCTGATGATTGTGCAATAATAGTTGTTCCGTACGACTGCAACTTACTTCAAAGCGACCTCGACTCTTGTCCATGCGGCCCACCGTAGTCGTGTTCCTCGACATCAAAGGTGCCTTCGATTCGGTTGATCGATGTGCCCTTTGGAATTGTCTACTCAGGAAAGGTGTGCCCGAGAAATATGTAAATATTATCCAAGCATTATATGCGCGTAGCACGGGCAGAGTAAGGGCTTACAGCAGGCTGTTGCCACCCTTCAATATTTCCAGCGGTGTGAGACAAGGATGCCCGCTGTCACCTTTCCTCTTCAACTTCGCGGTTGACGAAGTCATGGAGATTGCATTTACAGGACATGACTTGGAAGGTGTGGAGCTACTCCCAGGAGAACGACTTCTTGACTTAGAGTATGCAGACGACATGGCCCTCATCTGTGACAGCTCCCAGACGTATCCAGCCCGCGCTGGACAGATTAGCACTGGCTGTCAGTCGCTTCGGGCTTTGCTTTGCACCACCGAAGTGCAAAGCGTTCCTCCAGGATTGGCAGGGTTCGCCCCCTGTGCTGACCCTTGGTGGGGATCAGCTAGAAGTCGTTCAGAAATTCAATTACCTGGGAAGTTGTATTAGCGCCCTTGGGATCGAAGACGAGATCGCGAACCGCATAGCGAAAGCTCGAGACGCTTTTGCTAACCTTCGCCACCTATGGCGCAGCCACGACAGCACTCTCGCCCTGAAGGGTAGAGTGTACAATGCAGCGGTACGTTCGACCTTACTGTACGGTTGCGAAACCTGGCCCCTAAGATCGGCGGACATGAAGAGGCTACTTACGTTCGACCATCGGTGCCTTCGCAGTTTGGCTCACATCTGGTGGGAACACCGCGTGAGTAACGAGCGTGTTCGATGCCTTGTTTACGGTACAGAAAAAGGAAATGAACCGCTCAGCACCGTCATTTCACGCACCAGGCTCCGATGGCTGGGCCACGTGTTGCGCATGCCAGCCCACCGACTCCCTCGACGTGCGTTGTTTGCTCACCGGGGATGTGGGTGGAAGAAGAGGAGAGGTGGCCAAGCGATGACTTGGTCCAGAGGAATGAAGGCCCTCACTTCGGAGCTGGCCTCAGGTGGAGCTTCACGGCTCCCTGGTTGGGGTCCAAAAGACGGTGAACACGTTTGGCTGGATACACTTGCTGATATGTCAAGGAGTCGACCTCAGTGGCGTTCCTGCTGTGAGTTTCTTTGTCCCTCCCCATCCCTTTAGCCTCCCCCTCCACCTACGATCTTATCTCATAGCGTAAAACATAATAATTTTTCTTTTTGCCTAGTAGCCGGCTGGTAGCTTACCGGAACGATGCCTATCCGTTGCTGGTAGCTCAGCTGGCATTCAACTGTCGTATTTATTTTTTTCCTTTATGTATTGTGTGTATGTATGTATTTCCTTTATGTATTGCGGTACAATAGCGGAGGTGTTTTACCATCTCTAGCTGACATGTATAATGATGATGATGATGATGATGATGCGGTATGGAAATGTTGATCTTCCAGTCAACTTATTAAGTCCACGTTGTTGAGCCTGGGGTAGAGCGGTGATTGGCGCGTGTACACTCCGGCCGGCCAACCGCTACAACCCCCGCCTTCCGTGTAGTACTTAGATGTACTCTTGCACCGCGATTTGAGTCTGGGTAACACGAACACGCCATGTGGTAACGGGCTGTGTGTATGTTCGGCGCTCATACGCCGCCTCTGCACTTAGTCCAGAGGCCGAACATAGAAGGGTCAGCCCCGGACGGCATGTGATAAGGAGCGGCATTTTTAGTAACGTCGATTGTTCGATTCCAAATATGAAGAGCAAAAGTCCCAGATAATCTGAGTGTTGAATATTTTAATGTTACTCTGTATGATAAATAACACATTTACGCCAGGTGCAACACCTGTGCAAACGTTCTTCGCAGCAATCCCGTTACTTGTCCCATCGCGGTCACTTTCACCACATTTAAGTGTCCCAAACGATCATCCGTTTCATCGAAAGCTACTGTGCACTTTACCATGAGCAGATCGTATGGTCTTCACTTACCTTTTCTGCCCTCAGTGAAGGCGAACATTTAGCTATCGTCCCGGGCGGCAAAATTAGTTGTTACGCCAATGACACTCTGAAGAGATTTCCACGCGCCTCTTCTCTTGCATCACAAGACCACCCGCCTATCATCCGCCTATCACCCGATTACCTATGGTGAGAATCAACTGTGACGTTCTCAGCATACGGCTACCAGGCTCATTCCCGATTGTGTGGGTGTGTCCTACTAACACGGATGTAGTAGACTGAGGTTGTACACTCTATCTTGTCATTTATTTCGAGTGGACCTCATAATGAGGCAACGGATATTCAAGTTGTGTGACTTCCCCATTGTGAGATCGATTTCACACGTCTGCGCATTAAACAGCATTCACAGGCGTCGGTACAAACTTGTGTTGCCGGACCTAATCGGATACCATGCACTGTGAGCTTCAAGCCTCAAGCGGTTAGATCAAACAGTTTGCCATAGACAAGGAGGTGAAATTTGTGTCAGAATTCAAGAAAATCTTAAAAGCGTACTTTACGGAGTATAGGATTCGAGAGCGCATCGCACTTGAATAGGGCGTCACACAGCTGAACTGCGTTGGCAATGCGAGGGGATCATTGACGTTATTCCATGTGTGTACCTGATAATTCTCGATGGAGCAACATAGACGCATAGCAGCTAGGTCTCTAATTTCAGTATTCAGACCAGCGTCATAACAACCGTAAACGATGAATGCACTGAAAGCAATAGGTTCCAAACTTGGTGTCACTGCGTCGGATGCATTAGGACGTAGTTACTTAAGGATGCAAAATTTAGGCCAAAATCAAATAACATTTTCTTTTTTCTTCTGTGGACGTCGAACACTAATCGAATTAAAATAAACAGCGAGGTCGAGTCCGAACTAATACTGGCAAAACATACCCTCTCTCTGATGCACAGCTATCACAGAAAGGAACAAGTTTCCAATATACAAAACTTTTCGTGGTACAACTCACTCGTTCCAAAGCAGCCAACGCTACTAGACCTCCTCTGTACACTGTGGTGTTCTTCGGTGCATAACGCAGCACAGTGGAGGTTAGGAGGCGGAGTCGAGTGACTCGTTGCATGGGCAAGAGAAGAAAGGAGTTCAAATCGAGGAACGCGCAGTCGGGTTGGCTTTGTACTTGGCGCATTGCTTCCAAGAAGACTGGGTTACCTCTGCAAAATGGGACGAAAAATTGGTTGTGGATAGATGCGCAGGTTGATTAAAGATGATCTCCAAAACACCGACGTGTCGTTATTTTCCGATCGTTAGGGAAATAGATCGTGGGTCAGGCCTAATTATTTGGCTGGAACAATATTTAACCCATACTCACCGAGTAAAATTATTCACAAACATTTGTTAGCACAAATTTTAAAACGTGACACATTTGATTCATGCCAAATGTCGAAGTTAGTTTCTATGCGCGACGCTTGCCAAGATGACGAAACGGTGAAACGTCGGCATGTGATGAATTTCAAGGGGTTCTCCTCGCCCCTCTTTATTTCCACACCTTTCAGGCTTTCTTAGTTCTTCATTTCTTTTAATTCCACATGTTCTGCCAGCGTTGGCCTTGGTAATTTTCCCTCAGTATTTAGGCACATGCACTACAGTAAACTTAGATGAACTTGTGTGGGGATCGTCGTTCTACTCCATTCCCCAAAACCTTTCCAAATGGTATGATGTCGCAGTTTCTCTTCTTTATGCATACAAACTACGACAGCATTTAACGGCCACTGCTTCTCTGTGTGTGATTCATTACTTTACACCTAGTTCACTCAGTGTCAAATATCTTGGTACATTTTTATCCCGAAATTCTTCTTGGTCCACGCATGTTAGTGCAATAGTTACTAAAACCAGAAAGTTCACATTTTATGCACTTGCAGTAAAAATGTATTTACTTATATCTGAGTGTATACGTTCTCACTCACCGGGAATTCTATTCTCTAGTTATTCCTCTGCCTATTTTCAGTAGCCTACGCCTTACTTTGACAGTTAATAATCGCTGTTTACAAGTAAAGTTGATTCTCCAGAAAGCACCCAAAAGACTGTGCATATACACGCATTACCACTACGCTTCCGCACCCTTCGAGTTGACAAGTGACATTTGCATCACATTACGATGATCGATCGGGAAAACGCTGTTTTTTCGCGTGGCGCATATTCAGATATCTGTCTACTCGTGCTGCATCATGCGGTGGTTTTGTAATCCCACACGCGTTACGGTTAACTCTTTGACCCATTGAAGAACATGAGGATGACGTGGGACCGCATGCTCCAGCGACATATACACATATTCCCAGTTACACGATTTTATTACGTCTTTGATGATAGTATATTTGTTAACCCGTAGTCAATATCTTAATGTTAAAAATGAACTTATCGGGGAACATAAAGTCCACTTTTTAGTTTGACATAGGTTTCTATGTTTACAATGGAAATTTATCGCTCCCAGGTGGTTTACGATTCCAATCCATCTTCAACTGAGGAATATACTCCTACACCGTATCAGGAACGGCACCTTATTCGTCTACAAGGATAATGTGCCATTTCAAATTTGGCGTTTTATACGCATTGTAACACACCTCTTCAGGGGAAACTCATACCGAAGTCGAGCATAGGCGGTAGATGATCCAGTCTGAAACTTGTGCGTATGTTCGATGCTTAGAACACGCATACATGCCTATCCGTTCGTCAAGATAGCGAAGAAGAGACAAGCGCAGCCTTCTCTAACCCACTGGAAGAAGTAAGTATTTGGGGTTTTGCACTATGACACAATCTTATCCTTTGCTTTGTTGATCACAACCGGGCAGAAATCATAAAGCGTCTGGAGCAATCGGCAATATTGTTCAACCACCATTGCTCGTTTATTTTGTTGGGGCCATACCCGGTGAGTATTAAATAAATAAATAAATTGTATATTCCTCGACGATGCGAGAAGCTGTTCTCTATAAGGAACAGATCACATAATGGTACAACTTTTTCATCAATAAATTTCCAGAGATAAACATGGATGCAATTGCAAATTATGTTACACAGAGTAATCAGAATCGTTCTGCTATTTTTACCTGCCATTGAATCAAGATTCTTCACGATCACAGGATAGATATTTGGGCCGATAGAAAAAAATGTAATGAAAGGGGCTGTTGTCCGAAATGTTATGTGTATATGTTTCAGAAATTTATTCAGACACCATGGATACCGTTTTCGAATGCGTTATCTAGGGACTGTGATGTCCCGAACATCTTACTCACGTTTTGGACGGTTAAATGCTTACTAATAGCAAGCTTAAAATTGCAAAGAGTATAGCATGTTCTGATATCACTTGGAAGTTTGTTCCACATCTTTGAGTATTGGGTTAGAAAGAAACGTTCTCTGATTCTCGTAGAAAATTTTGGAATCATGAACTTTAGCTCTTTGTTACGTATTGGGTATCTGTTGTTTACAGATATGTGAACACCGCTTTCAGGACTGCGAATTTGACAATTTATGATTCTGTAAAGAAAACATAGGTTCAGCTTCATTATCCGAAGCCAGACTGGGTCAAATCCAAGTTTATCGCATCGCTCCTTGTATGTCAACTTTGAGGAATATCCATATAGCTTTTTCGTGAAGCGTCTCTGGACCCTCTCAAGAGCGTGCTGGTCAGATTTCCGTAGATTAGACTGCACCATTGAACAGTATTCCATACACGGCAATACATATGTTTTGTAAAGGGATATGCGAGATTCCGTGAGGTAAAAGTGATGGCAGATATAACCAATGGTCTTCATGGCCTTCGAAGCTTGGAAGTCACAGTGTTCAGAAAAGTTAAACGTAACTGAATATCGCACGCCCAAGTCGCGAATTGTCCTGCATTGCGAGATATAGGCACCTTGTAGTAATAAACTGTCTGGCGGTACTTGGCATTTGTACGACAAAATATTACACTTGTCCACGGCAAATGACATCTGCCACAGTTGGCACCAGGAGTCAAGGGCGGATAGGTCATCCTGAATGAGACGTACGGCTTCCTGAGTATTTGCACGTGGTTGTGAGTAGACAACTTTAATGTCATCAGCAAAGATAAATGCAACACCATTTCTTATTCTCTGGAATATATCGTTAATATAAATTAGAAAAAGAAGTGGACCAAGAACACTCCATTGAATCACTCCACTAGTGATTGCTTGCGGTGTAGAGAAATGGTCGCCTATGCGCACAACCTGCTGTCTACCAATTAGATATGAAGACAGCCAAGAGAACATCGGTTCTCCAATGCTTATAGCCTTCAGTTTTTTCAGTAACCTTCTGTGAGGCACTCTATCAAAGGCTTTTCGCATATCCAGAAACAGGATTACGACACTGTTTCCGTTGTCAATGGCAGCCGTTGTGTGGTTTAAAAAGTCAGTCTGGCATGTTGCGCAGGATCGACCTTGCATGAAGCCGTGTTGCGAATTGCTGATGATAGCTTTGTTCAAGAATATAAATAGTTCATCTTTTACTCTCCTTTCCATTATTCTAGATACGATGGGTGTGTGATTTATGGGACCAAAGTTTTTAACCTCGTGGGCAGCGCCATTTTTATGTCGCGGGATAACAACAGAAGTTTTCCATTGAGTAGGGTATACTCCGTTGTTAAAAGAGAGTGTAAAGAGGTTGAGCAAAAGCAGAAGGAAGTCACTACCACTGCGCTTTATTAAACATGGGGGTAACCCATCAGGGCCTGCGCACGTTGAGGAGTATAAGCGAGTGACTTGAATAGTGATTTTCGCTATAGTGAATTCTACTGTGCATAGACCTTCATTATTTTGCGCTGTGATAAATGTTGGTGTATCTGATGATTCAGTGAGCATTGATTCGGCAAAATAAGCACTGAAAGCTTCGCAGATATCATCTGGTGCGTCGTAGTATGTTCCATCAGGCGTGCTGATAAAACTGAGATTGTCACTGCAATGCGAACCCCGGGCACGGAATAGTTTGGCTAGCTCAGCTGTTTTGCTAGGGCCATTCAGAGCTTTATACTCTTCTAGAATGAGAGTTTTGTCTCGTTGATGCCTCTGTTCTTCCACGAGCTTCGACTGCTGTAATAATAGCGCAAAGTCAGCAGTTAACTTGCATTTCTGACGAATCTTATGAAGCTTTTGCGCTGCCTTCAATGCCTTGCGATCGGATTTAGGTTTGGTTTGGTAAGCACATTTTAGTGGTGTTGCTGAATCGATGCAGAAGCCGATTATACTATAAAACAGGTCCGTCGCATGTTGAGCGCATGAAGAGAGAAAGAATTTATCCCAATTCATCGAACGAACCAGGTCCTTAAATGAGTCCCAGTTGACAGAACTGAACAGACGATAATGCTTTGTTTTCGGTACATCGCCCATGCGTAGTCTTAGACAGCATTTGATTACGCGATGATCACTCCCCGGAAATTCGTCAAGAATGTTAACACTGATTGCAGGTATGCCCAATGAAAAAATGAGATCCAGCGTACTTTCACCTCTGGTAGGTCGAGAGACTTGTTGCTGCCAACCATTCATTTGGATACAGGAGATAAGATTGTGGTATTTCAAAGGAGCGGTGCCTATGGGCCATGAAATCGAAGGCAGATTGAAATCACCTCCAATAAGCTTATGTAAAATTGGTAGGCCAGCGGCGCATTCAAATGCAAGCGTCACAAGTTCTAGGTCTTCTTGACTGCCGTTTGGCGCGCTGTATATACATCCCATAAGCAGCTGTTGCTGCTTAACAGATGTCGTCAGCCAGAGTGATTCCTGAACATTGTTCAACACTGGGTTATCGAATGTTACTGCTGTGAGCGAGTTTTTTAGATAAATTACGCAGCCACCACCTCGACGACCAGGCCGATTCCTCATAAACTTGTTATATCCGAAAACAGTTAACCGATTGTCAGACATGCCATCATGGCACCAAGATTCAGTTATAAATAATATATCAGGATTATTCACCAAAACAAACGAGCGTAGGGTGTGGATCTTAGAGTAAAGAGAGCGAATGTTTATCAAAAATTCTGAGATAGATGTGAGATATGAGGTAGATTCTTTAGATTGTGTTATAAACACTGGAGTTTCAAGCCGTGTGCCTGGGCCCAGGTTAGAAATTGTTGAAAAAGTGCGCTTATTGCCAACGGTGGAAAATGATTTGGGGGTGGCCATAGCGGAGGGGGTTGAGACTGAGTATGGCCCTCTAGAAAATGGTTTGAGGGAAAAAGTCCATATTGTATATACACGTTTACCTGGGTATGGATACAGCGGTTCGTACCAATTCCCCAATATGAGCTTCTGTAGCAAATTTAGTGTGTTCTCTGTTTGGTCGGATGCACAGGTACATGCAAAAACACAACATTACAGGCGCATAGGAAAGAGTAGATAAATTAGAAGAATAGAGCTACAGTTATCAAAGTTGCAAAAAGTTATCAGTTCTACATTTTAATACTATTCAGCAGTGCAATGTAAAGCAGAGAGAAGAAACTAGGACAAGTATATACTTGTTTAGAGCTATTTTATGTGACACCCTCACACCAGTTAACAAAAAGCTTAATCAGGGTTGTAAGAAGCTGTGCACCGCATTCAGATATGGAATTTACCAGGGATACGTCAACGAAGACACAAGCATATTTGTAGAGTGTAGAAAGAGGTTCGGCGTCCCGATAAGGATCGTCGCAATCCCATGCACTCAGATGTTGAAAGCACCCGTGTTCCTAACAATCACTGTGCTTCCAGCTAAAAGAGGAAAGGACTACCTGATAGCGGATGCAATACATCCGAATACCAGGGAAGCGCATCAGGTATGAGTGTCGAATACATCACGGCTGGAATAAATTCCACTGCAGCAACTCTAGCGTGACGGTGAGGGGTTAGAATGATTAAATCGAATGAAAGAAAACCAAGAACTACAACAAATCGACCTACCGTAATTTACATAGTGCCCGTGTTTGGTACATCTGATTCTGTACGTAGGTTATGTAGCAATCAAACTTCGTCTCCGTGTGGTCGTAAACTATTTCACACAATTGCATCAACCAGGGGTCCTCCCGGAAGCAGGCTTCCATCGCACGAAGAAAACTGAGGAATGGAAAAATACAAACCGTCGCAGTAACTGGCCATAACATTTCGCTGAAAATTGGTACTGCTCTCATCATCATCATCAACAGCAGTACATCAGCCATTTGAACTGATGCTTCGCTGCCGTACAACCATGAGGACCTATGAAATAAAGAATAAGAAGAGGGAGAGAAGGGGGGGACTTACCTGAAAACTTTAATGCCCTAAGCAAACATTCAGGGCCAAGGCGCCTACACCTTGTGTAGACAACATACCGTCACAAACAGCTGGCTATCGAGCAAAGATAAGGCGGCATCGGCGAGACAGCTTCCTTGCGGCTTTCACTGCCACGCGTCCTAATCAGCCATTAACCCGCAGATAACTCAGCACCAAACATACTTTAAACAGGCAATCCGATTAGGAGACGGCAGCAGACGCGCCACTGGTGTCTACTGCGAGCCATGTCCTGCAAAGTCTCGAGCCAAGCACAAGGTGAGTCACGTGGACTCCAACCCGGAAGACGAGATGGACCAACGGCACCCAGTTTGGTTGTCAGTGACTTCATTTCTCGCTGCCAAGTCAACTTCTGTCCACCTCGAGCCTTGCGCCATCCTACACCTGGCAGACTGAACAAAGCCCTCCTAGGTAAGCGGTGACCACGCAAACGTAGCAGGTACCCGAGCCAGCGCAACTTATTCAGTGCTATCTGTTGTTCTAGGAAGCTAGCATGATCATCACCACCTAGTACTCGCCTACGCACATCATCGTTGCGGACACGCTGTTGTCATCCGACACCAGCAATGCTTCGCAGACAACGATGATCAAAGACTTGAAGGCGCCTCAGATCTTCAGACCGAAGGGGCCAAGTGTTACTGCCATACAGCAGAACGGCCCTCACTGTGGCCTTGTATACACGGTCTTTCAGACGGAGGGAAACTCACTTCTGTCGCCAAAGATGACGCAGGTTCAAGAAGGTAGCCCTGGCTTTTGCAATGCGTAAGACGACGTCAGTTTCTGTGCGCACATCATTGCTGAGGCATCTGCCAAGATAAGTGAAATGATCAACCACCTCGAGTTCCTCGTTAGCAAGCGTCAAGGGGTCATCAAGTGGCTGGTGGTCCTGCAGCAACACTTTGTACTTTGAATGTGCGAAGTGCATACCAAATAATGGGACCACTCTGGATAGGCTATTCAAAGTTGATTGGGCCGCCGCAACATCGTCGAAAAGCAAGACGATATCGTCCGCATAATCTAGATCAAATAACCTTTCACCAGGCAGCACTTCAACGCCTACATTGTGAGATTCCGCAAGGGAACACTCCATGATAGAATCCACGACGAAATTGAACAAAAACGGGGAAATCGGGCAACCCTGACGAACGCCACTTGTAGTCGAAAAGCTATCCTATAGGTCCCAGTAGACCCTGACGCGATCTGTAGTGTTCGAGTATAGAGCACGAAGGATGTTCACATATTTCGTGGGAACACATTTCCGCGCAAGTATTTCGAACAGAATCGATCGATGGACTGAATCGAACGCACTCTTGAAATCGGGGAACACAGCTATTGTCGATCTGCGGTATGTGTGGCGCTGCTCTAGCAGCTGCCGCAAAGTGAATATATGGTCTATACAGCCACGTCCTGGGCGGAAAGCGGCCTGCTCCTCCTTAATCCGAGATTCACGCTCCGCAGTGAGGCGGCGAACGATAATCGAGGCCAGTAATTTTGTCACAACTGGTGTTAAGCTTATACACCTGTGGTTAGAACAGTCTGTGCGACTGCTCTTCTTGTATATTGCCACTATAATCGATTCGCTCCAATTAGTCGGGACACTCCCTTCCTTCCAAATACGTTCGAATAGGGAGGTCAGTGCTTTGCAGAGGACCTAGCCCCCATTCTTAAATATTGCAGGTAGGAGGGAATCCGTGCCAGCGGCACGAAAACGATTGTGGGCTGTGAACGTGTTTCGGACCTCGGCCTCCGACGGAGGCTCTAAACTAACCGTCCATGTCTCGTCCTGCATCACCTGAGTAGGAAGAGGTCCGGGAGCAAGGGGCCAGGTGAACTGATCTTGAAAGTGTTCCGCCAAACGAGCCATACGGCGCTCCTTATTGTGTATCAGCGCACCCGCGCTATCTCTGCTTGTCTCACTGACGCCTAGTTTTCTGGGACCAGTGGTGCGGAATAGCTTGATGTAATTGCCACCTGCTCCTGCCTCCTTCATTTCTTGAGCCCTACTGATCCACCAGGCTTCCTTGTCAGCACGTAGGCTCTGCTTTAGTTCACGCCTAATAGCCCGTCTCGTCACATTGTGTTCAGAGCCAGCCGAGAGGTGTCTTCTAGATTCCAACAAGTTCACCGACCTCTCGGATATCCAGTGACTGGTGCGGTGACCACTGATAGTGTCACAAGCCGATGCTCCTGCGTCGGGCATGGCGGCCGAGATCCTATTCCACTAAAGCTCAGTGTCATTAGGACAAGACAGCGAAAGTTCGGTATGCAGTGCTTCTTGATAGGCTTGCCTGACCGAGGACTGAGACAATATCTCCGTTGCCAATCGTAGGGGACGCTTAGTGCGCCTCCCGGTAAAGTTCATGGAGAAACGACAGTGTACCAAGGCATGATCAGAGTTGACACAGGTACTCCAGTACGAGCGGCGATCCAGGATGGAAACACGCCCTCTGTAACTTATGGCTAGGTGGTCAATTTGGGTTCATCGCTGGCCAGCTACAGGAGGACGCCAAGTGGCACTTCAGCGCCCACTGTGTCTAAAATCAGTGCTACTAAGAAACAACTGGTGCTCCGCACACAGTTGCAGCAGACGCTCACCGTTGTCAGTCCGTTAGGAGTTAAACCCATACTTACCACCCAGCTGAGCTTCTGAAGAGCTCAGACTACCCTACTTGTGCGTTCATATCCCCTGCAAGTACGATAATATCTGAACTAGTAGCACTGCGTAGTAGCGCGTTCAGTTCGTGCTAGAATGTGTCCTTGACAGCATTAGAACTACAGTCGGTGGGAGCATAAGCGGAAATCAAAAACAAACAGCGTTTTGTACTACTTCGTGAATCAACCTTAGCTGATGTCGTCAAACGGGCTGCACATAAACGGCTGTTCACCGGAATCCAATCAACCAACGATGGCTCAGCCTTGGAGCTTAGAATGATACCTACACCAGCTTGACTAGTGAGTGCTGCATCGGCGTCTCCGGATGCGTGCAACCAATAACGGGAGGATAAGCCTGGTGGGATCTTTTCCAGTTAAGCCGCGCCACTAATGCAAAAAGAGCACGCGCAAAAAGCTAAGCCCCGCCACTAAGGGAAAAAGGGTACAACTGAAAAGTCATGCCCCACCAATGGTGCAAAAAGGGCACGCGTGAAAAGTTGAGCCCCGCCACTGTTTGCCAGCTCCACTGTACGTAATGCATGTGAACGTGCCCCATAAAAACACTCCTTATCCGCTTCTAAGGTCATTTTTGTCCAAAAAGTTTCTACGTTTTTTGCAAAGCCATGGAGTGATTCATCATCAAGGTTTATGCAGACGAGGACACCAAATGACACTTTCAACTGTTTCTGACAGGTGGATGTGTGATGCCCGACAGTGTCGGAAAGAAATCGGTCTTCGAAAGGGAACTTGGCTGCAGCGATCTAGGATGGATTTCAGGACAATAATCCTATTCATTTATTGCTGGTCCAAAAATCTGACAACAATCAAATTCTGCTCAGAAGAGTTATCTATTGGCCAAGCGACCGCTGTCAACTGGAAGAACTTTCTGCGTGAAATTTGCGCCTGGCAGCTTTTGCAGACTCCCACGATTGTCGGCGGCTCAGGTCTACATGTCGGAATCGATGAAACCCTAATATCACGTCGTAAAAACCATGCAGGGCGAGTCCTTCCCCAACAGTGGATTTTCGGAGGGGTTTGCCGGGAGACTAAAGAAGTGTTCTTGTATGCAGTGCCAGATCGAACTGCGGCCACTCTGCTGGACGCAATCCAGGCCTGCATCGCTCCCGGCTCAATTATCATTTCCGATATGTGGGCATCATACCAACGCATTGAATCGATGATTGGCATGAGTTATACTCATCAAACGGTTAATCATACCGAAAACTTTGTGGATCCAACGACTGGAGCTCACACACAAACCATCGAATCTCTCTGACACATTTACAAGATGCAGAATAAGCGCCAATGCGGCACACACCGATCTTTAGTGGACAGCTACCTGTGTGAGTTCGTTTGGAGGCAAAGACACCGAAAAATGGACCTTCTCATGCAAATTATTAATGACTTGTCTCAATTTCACCCTCTTCAACAGAGAGTAAAAGTTCAAGTTCCATATCCTCCCTTTTCATAATCTTTTTTGGGTGGCGGGACTTAACATTTTGGCGGGGCTTAACTGGAAAAGATCCGCCGGGTGAAGTTAATTCAATAACCCCGTTGGGGTCATTGAGCCTAGTTTCGGACACACAACACACATCAATACCCAATGTGTCCAAGGTGCGTGCGAGTGCAGCCTGCTGACCTGTTTGTCTTAGAGTGCGGACGTTGAATGTCGCCATGGAAACGGGATAGCGTGGCCTTATAAGGGACTTTTGCCGATAGGCGTCCGATAGGTGCGGTAGGATGGTGGCTGCACATGGTTCTACTCCAGTGGCACTTCGGTTGCTGCCAATTGAGCGGGGAATTATAGAAGGAAGGTTAGTAATGGGGGTCAGGATGGGAGTAAGAGAAAAAGGTGGACAAGTAAGAAGGGAAGCGTCAGCAATAGCATGTTTTCGCTTATCCGCTCTGCTGTATGCAGCGGGCGATTCTTGATAATCTGCGCGACGGCCGATGCAGGATGAAGTTTATATTTGAAGTAAATGTCATGATTGCATGTGGGCTGAGATACTGCCAGGACACGCAGACCAAGACGGCAGAACGATTAGGGTCCTCATCCAAAGCCTTTGGCTCAAAAGCCTGTCCGCAAGGCAGCGGGGAGGTGGCAATGATTTAGTTTTCCTGAAATGTACGCCATCCCATTTCAAACCCCCAACCTGGATGACCATGAGACTGAGTTTGTCTGACCACTCTGTATTCCTGAAAATATCACACATGTTTGCTTTGCGACTTGCCGAGTTGGACGAGCCTCTCCTAGTCAGTGAGCTGCATTTTCTGCTCACTGGGGTCAAACAACAGCCGCAGTGTAATAATTGCGTCCAACGTGAAACAAAGCAAATGGCATACGGTAGAATCTTCTTCACACTTTCAAAATGGAATGGTGTGATACGGTTTCGTCGACGTTGTGTCAGTCTACACGATCGTAGACTAAGACCGGCAATCAAGGATCTATGTATTTATCCAGGTGGCAGAAACACGTTGGAATTGCTACTTCAAGAGATCACACTGCTCCATCCTTCTCACTCATTAGGGCAATGCGATAGAAATTGCCCGCACAAATCACGGCTCAAAGTGCTACTGTATAGAAATTATACTGTATGGACCGCAGTGTAAAGGCGTAACGTATGCTGATGACCTCCGAGCATCCTTAACTGCGTTGTGTTTCCGCAGTTGGTGAGATGATAATGTCCGAGCTGATTTCAATGGAGCTTTTGGGATCGTTTGGAAATCTTCAACTTAGTCTGATCGTTTTCTAATCAGACTTACCATCCATTTACGTCACGGGGTGTCGACCACCGTTCCTGCGTCCCATAACTGATACCTTGGCTTAACCTATTAGTGGTACCTAAATGAACTCTGAAAACACTGAATGGCAGGTAGGCGCTTGCTATCTGCCTGGACGAGTGTGTTTGGACTGATCACATCACTGATTAGGGTAGCGATCAGGCACCGCATTCTACGTCTAATCTCTCATTTAAACCAACTCGTCCAACTGCTAGTAATACATCATCCACTTTTACAATTGACAAGTCTACCATCCACCTTGTAACTTTTCGCACAGGCGTTCTAAAGTGTCACAATCTTTTCCATACAATCAGTGTTACTGTGTCCAACCGCTCACTGATGTTTGGATCGCAGTGCACAAATTGAATTGGCTTACTTTATTGCACACAACTTTAGAGGGCCGGTAAGATACTGGCTTTTCACATCGAAACTTATATTCTGGCTAGAGGCCTGTCAGAAGCTTAGTTTTACTTTTAGCGAATACATCTGGTGCATTACAAACGCTTCCACTGAGTAATAGAAAATTATCGCTGGAGGATCTGGGGTTTCGAGATAAATTTTTCACCAAAACGTGAACCATACGTCACTCAGTAATTCGCACAAAAGACACGGTCGTAGTTCTTTGTATGGGAGAAATGGACGTTTTAAAATTTGGGCTACTCAACTGCAACCACCGAGTAACCATCGGAGAAACCTGCCAGTCATCGTGGTTTGCATCTCACAGTTACTGTTGTTGTTGTTGTTGTTGTTGCTGTTGTTGTTGTTGTTGTGTTAAATGATTTTACGAGCATACATCATGATTAAAATAGACTGTAAACACTCACTTTTCGCTTGTCATGTGGATTTCTAAAACGTTTGAAAATAGGTGGTGCTTCTCGACAGGCGAGACGACAGCGCCAGGCTTCCCAGCTTGCATGTAAGGGGACTTGTAGAAGACCTCAATGAGGACGTTTAGACTGCGGAAGTAGGAGGCTTCAGACGTCAATATTTCAAACAATGCCTACAACACAGAAGGGACTGATGTACGGCCGGCACTACGGTGACAAAGCAAAGTAGCGTCTTCAGAAGTGTCGTGAATTTGTACACTTTGGCTAAGAGTAATGTGTATTGTGGAATGTCAGTACACTATACGAGTAGGGTGCATGATGTGTGTGCTACCAACATCAGCTTCTGGTCCAACGGGTTCGGTAAATTTACAACATTGGAACGCTTCCTAATAAGCACAGTGAACTCTAGTACGCATCACATAGCTTCAATTGCTGACTGAAATATCGTTCATTGTGTTTCTGCTAACAAACCGCGATTGGGACACAGGGAGAGTTGACTACTTCAGGCCACTTCTAGCATAACATCCTAATGAGCAATGAACAATGAATTTATACGGATTGAGAAGCGTTGCTTTATAAGTCCCGTTGAGTAGTTGGTAGACATATCGAAATAATAATAATAATAATAATAATAATAATATTAACACAGTATTTTAGCTACGAAAATAAGGTCATCGTTTGGTCCGTTGTAGTCCTGCAATCCTCTTAGATTCATAGCACCCACAGTTAACATCAACTAATTCTATGGTAAACTCCAGGTGCAGGATGGAGAGGTAACGCTAAGTGACAAAGGGTAAGTGGATGAGTGCATCATCCAACCGTCTTTTAAACACTGTTAGCATCGGTGTAGAGACGACCGATTCTGGGAGAGCATTCCACGGGTGACATACACAAATGGAAAAGAAATTTCTGCAGCACTCCAGACCGCTATACTGTTCTGTGACTTTCAATGTGTGGTCCGTCAGGTTTGTATTGCTATTGAGTTGCAGTAAATGTCAGCACACGTGATGTTGGTCGCACAGAATCAGGCATACCATAAGCAGGTCGCCTCGTAGTCTGAGATAGCTTCCACTGAACACCCCAATCGTTGCGGCCTCTCCTGGTAGGAAAGATTACGCATTCAAATTACTTTCTTAGATGCCCGGCGTTGTGACTGCTCCAGTGCATTAGGCTCGTGTTTCAGGCATGGATGCCAGGCTTGAATTGCATATTCGACATGGGGGCAAACATAGGCACTGAGCATTTGTCGAAATATGGAGCTGTTTATTTGTCCAAACGCTCGTCACAACAGCCCGACGTGTTGTCTCCCCGTCTTCGAGGTCTTTTCGGATTGACTGGAGCAACCCGAGTCATCTTGAACCACTACAGCTAAGTCACATTCGACAGTTAATTGTTGCAGTACATTCATTCCGAGTCGGTATGAGTAGCTGCTCTGATGTCGGATGGAATGTACCTTGCATTTACTGCCGTTGAAATGTAGTAGATTTTGGGTTGACCAGTGATATACTGTACCTAGGTCACTATAAAGCAGATGCTGCTCGACATTCACCTGGATCCTGCGCCTAATCCTGATATCGTCAGTGCGATTCCTTATGCAAGGTCATTTATAAACACCAGAAACAAAAGTGGACCTAGAACTGAGCCTTGAGGTGTACCACATTCGACTTGTCTGGGGTCAGCTAAAGAGCTCCGAACTCTGACCACTAATTGCTGTTGAAGTAGAAAGTTGGCAATCCAGCTTAAAAGAGGGTCGCCGATACCGTACTACTGGAACTTGGAGAGTACCATCCCATAATCTAAACGATCGAAAGCCTACGAAAAATCCAAGTAGATCACATCAACACCTTCTCCAGCGTCAGCTGACACGGTCTAACTGCTGCGTGTGATTAGTAGATTCGTTGTGCATGACCTTTGTCGACGGAAGCCGTGCTGCTCAAGCATGATGATGTTACAGTTTTCCAGATAACACACTAGTGCATCGGCAACTATGGATTCCATGACCTTGGAGAGTATAGGAAGATGGGATACTGGGCGGTAGTTAGAGCGCTCAGTTCTGCTTCCACCTTTGTGAATCGGGGTTATTATTCCAAGCTTCCACATGGCGGGAACTTGGTTCTGATGTATGTAGCGCCGAAAAAGCTGAGGTAATGGTCTTGGCAGTTGGCTTGCTGCTGCTTCTAGTGCCTCTGGACGAATGGTGTCGACACCCGGTTAGCTGTGTTTGCGTAGAGACGTCAACTTTTGCAATACGGCCTCCGCGGTAAAAGTGATGTGGGCTAGTCCTTGCGGAGATACGACAAATTTTGGAAGATCGCTTGATTGCAAGCCCTCTGAAAACTGGGGACACATTGCATGTGTAGCGCGTTTGCTGTTTCCATAGCCGTTCTTGTTAGGTCATCGGCCGTCCTGAGTGGAAGAAATCCTTGCTGGGAGTTACAAAATATAGCCTCCTTAAAAACTTCGTCAGGGAGTATATAACTGGTTTCGGAATAATCACTTGTAAATCTCTCACGATTTTGATTGCTTTAAGCGAGAAATGAAAATAGTGACCATTGTGGTGGTTAGTAATGAGTGCGTGCGTAACGAAGACCAAATGCGATTAAGATACTGCGACACATTGGTGGCCTTACCTTATTTAATCAGCTATCGACTTGTTGGCAGCACAGCTTTACAATCGAGTTGCAAGCGTTTCAAAAGAAATCAAAGGTGAGTTTCTGAGTATGCAGATGCTGTTCTTTAAGATCAATAAGTTCATCACAAACGGCATGAATCATGCAACACCCATAACTTCTCCATTAAATATTTAGTGAAGCTTCAGCACCCGCGAAGGGATTTTGGTGGCCCTGCTCTCGACAACACAAACCTCCAACTTGACAACGAATGGGATATTTTGCGTGCACTGCTTCTCAAAATCTAAATGTTCGTTATGTATCTGTGAATACAACTGTCTTTCCCACTATAAGATAAGATCCGTGTAGCCCTTGTTAACCACTACTCCAATGCGTAGCCATTCGTAGTAAATTACGGTTGTTAATGTCCGAAATGTGTAAGAAAACACGATTTTACTGGAAATTCGTGCAGTAACACTTACTTATGTCACTTCCAGTACCAGTGAGACTCTTGAAACTAAATAACCAAGTTATCGGAGCGTGTGAGCAGCTGTGTGATTAACAATGAAGGCCTCAAGAAGGACATCCAAATGAATGCATTACGCTAGCTGCACCATTCGCTTGCCTAATAACCACAGGTTTCTTATGCCACTGAAAGCGCTTAAGAATCCAGTTCGTCCTGTAAATGTTATAACCCGTGAAGAAAAATTGGCTGCCTGATGAAACCAGCACCCGTCATCCATTATCTCTGATGGAGCAGAAACATTTTCGATGCAGCACAAACTTGCTAGCCAAATAAGTGCAGCCCTCATGATATTGCAAATGCTGAAGACTTGTGGTCAAATATTTTCATCGGTATGAGATAACTAAGTTGTTCGCTATGGCGGCTGATTCAGGAGATGGATAAATTACACTGTTGTCATACAACTTCCGAGGGATAAAATGTCCTCTAACAAACCTCTGTCGTCAACTCCACTTGCTAACTAGGTGGAAACATATATGACGTCCCCTTATACAGTTAAACCTGTCTAAGACGACCACTCAAGGGACAGACAAAAGTGGTCGCCTTGGACTGGTTCATGCATAGGGACATTACCCATAGGAGCTAACGCTGGGGATGTTTTTGGCTGGTCGCCCTAGACGGGTAGTCACCATAGCAGATTGGACTGTATCACTGAATCGTATGTTACTAAGTCCCTATGTCGTTTCGGTTCCCATCCAAACACTAACTAACCACTGACAGTCGTGTTGGTTACTTATAATTCTACTTGCGATTTTCTAAAACTAGAGCAATCTGACTGTTCTTCTTTCATTCAATCCAAACTCATGCACGGAGGTTGTGCTATGGTTCATGACGGTTAGTATTTCTTCATCCAGTTTGTGGTAGTCCATACACAAGTGTGAACAAATGCCCGTTCGCAACACTGCAGCAGTGTAACTCGAACCAATGACCTTTGGTATGTCAACTGATATCTCACGTTGAATGACTAAGTGGAAGCCATTTAGAAACAGTTATAAGCACCACAATTCAGCCTGAGACTGATGGCATCTTCACTCGCGTAACACCATGATCTGCTGACTCGATGTCTAAATGGGACTCGGCTAAAGTACAAAACGCGCTAACATCTGTTCGTGTCTCGATACATTCCCACTTGACAGATGGATCTTATTACATTTTTTCTCGTGTGACACCGTGACTTATTAGGGGTTGCAAAATGAGGTCAATGTATCCCATCTCAAGTGTCTCTATACGCCCCATTGTACTGCGGCCGCCTTCAGGTAAACGCACTGAGATTCAGACAAGTCATCAAGGTTGATTCCCGGAACAGCGGCAATACGTTGTGATATCCGAATCGAAATGCATGGGCATAGGTAGTATTCTAGACACTGATGGATTGGTCAAGATATGCTAGCGGTCCGAACGAATGACCAAGGGGAAATAAATAGTAACACATGACGGACTGCTTGGTGGTTCTACCTCCCTGTTGATTCTCGCTCACCTCGGACAACAGACGATTAGAACTGGCTCTGGTTTTACCTTACGACACGGATAGCCTGCAGTGGACATAATCGCACCATTTCCCTGCTAACTTGAAAAGTTGCTTACGCCATCTCCGTCATTCATTTTGGTGTCATCCTTATTCTATATACCGCATGTAAGTCGGGCTTGGGTGCAGTTTCATTTTAGAATGATTAACTACTGATTTGGTGCAATGTGGTATCTTTATTGCACCTGCCTAGAACGGATGAGCCACAGGTAACCTAACTTTTTTAGGCTTATTTAACTCGGTTGTATTTCGCGATGACTTCACGTGTTGCCCATTACGATATTGTACTCATCATGATCTATGCTATGCTATTCTTGCTACCTCCTCAAGCGGCGTCTAGTAAGGTTACATACCGAGAGTGAGCTATGGCATCTTCATTTTCGTATTATTATTCGGCCGCGATTCATATCACTATGTCAGCTCCATGGTATTGCTCACCATAACTGTAGCTTGACTAGCTGCTCAATGCTAACTTGCATGATGTTTAGAGAGCCGGTGCATCGCAGAATAATGGTTCAATCCATCCATGAGGTCATTCGTAATTGATGTGAGTGCGGTATTTCCGGGCGATTTGTGTGCTTACTACGGATCAATGCTAGGGTGGCAAATTATTGTGTATGTTTCCAGTTCGATTGATACGTTTGAATCAAAAGGTTATCATCGCTTGGCCGTTTACAGTATGCATAAAATGTCAAATTTGACATTTGTAACACAATGCTTAACGATTGTCCTTCGTGTGACCACTTTGGATTATGCATACGAAGAGAAATTTCCCTGGAAAATCTGTGTCAAGTGAACAATCCCGACAATTAACCGACTAGCGATTATCACGATGTTGCCATTCCATGTTCCACTCCGCAGGCTAGTGAAGAGAGTGAGTATAGTTATAGTTCCAGTTATCCCTCAGCCATACTGAATTTACCGGGGCCTATGAAAACACACGTATTAACCGGATGGAAGGCAGACGTGCAGAGACGCCTACCAGAATTTGCATTGCACATGGCCAATCTTTTGAATGGATTAAGTAAAAGGTTGCATCTAACGGGAATGGTACGCCAGTGTGTTACTATATAAGATCGGAAATGAATCGGCCCATAGCGGCAATGGTTTTATGAACACCGAATGAGCTGCACCCGAAACGTACGATATAGACCGTTAGCAAATAGTTTATGGCCACAGTAGAGTACAGGTCGGTAGGTACAAACGGTTGAGTACTTGAACATTTGCACAATAAATGCGAACACTGTTTAAAAAGTCGCATGTTTGACAGCGGGCAGCGGGACTTAGTTGATTTCACTTGTCAATACCGAAGGTTGCGCATCAATCGTTCTTTGAGTAGGTGCACATACCTTGGGCAGCACATGACCGAAACGGTCGGAGACACAGAGAGCCAGAAGTGGACACTGTATCGCATTCGCATGCTGTGTGATCTCACACATCAGCTACTCAAACCAGACTGTACATGTAGAGGGCAACATTTAAGTGCACACTATTTCACTGTACCAGTAGTCTAGTCATCATTCTACCTAACAGTTGCTTTACTATTGCCACATCGGGTTCCTTCCAATATGGATGCCCAAGATTTAAGGCTGTCACGTCTAAATGATAAAGAAATCATCAACAGTTCGTATTGGGTAGTTATTCTCATGCCTGCGAAAGTGATTTTTAGCCTGACGTCCAAACGAAACCCATACACGTTTGTCTTACCATTGATGATGATGTCTAATGTGTCTCTATCCAGTTTGAGACAGCTCACACTTAAGTTTGGATAAACGCGTGTACATATGTTGTATTCGAACTGTCATTGGACACAGCTGACGCCAATCTATGTATGTATGTATACCGAATGAATTTCACGAGCAGCTTCATACCGTTTTTGTACAGTTAACTTAGTGCAGTAAAACGACATTCGAGCAAACCGAAAATAACTACCAGAACATGAAGAAGGTGAGTTTATGACAAACTCATGTTGATTCCAGGTGTTGCGAATCCAAGGCAAATTTGATCGATGCGAATTCCGTGAACTACTCAAAAGGGCGGTTTCTCAGGTGCCGGAGAAGGCACAATTGTATGCGGAATAGAAACACTATGAGTATGTTCTCATTCAATTTACTAATCCAGGCCAATAAGGCGGCGTATGTGGTACGTTTGCCTGCGTGATGAGTAATCTTGCATTTCAGAAGTAGATGTTGCTTGAGCTCCCCTGTGTGGATGCGCCTGATGTGAATGTTGACAAGGTGCCTACCTGTCTATTACCCACTACCTCGTCCATACTGGCTCCAGGAGACAGTTGGTCGTCGCTGGAGGGGACGGAGTGCACTGTCCTCGTGACGGTGCTAGGCTCAAAGAGTGGTTCCATCCTGTGTGTGACGGGCTACGGTCCAGCCACCGCCTCGTGTACGTCTGGTGTGTATGATTTCCCAATTAGGCCGGAATGCTTCCGTTCTGCTTGTTGAAGGAGTGTGGGCCGGCTCCGTTGATGAAACGTGGCTCCCATCCGCATGCCTCCCGGTCTTATTCCTTCGGGTTTACACCGGATATGGGGTGTGTGATTGGAACTATGGGTGGTGCAGCGCAAGTCACCCATGGTCCCTCTGTAGGCGCAGGCCTCCTGTGACTGTCCCCATGGACGTCACAGTGACAGGCAAATCCGGATACGGATGCCGCCAAATCATGCAAAAAACTGGCATAATGTAGTAAGGCACACAATATTTCCATTAGCTGTTTGAACCGAAATGAGTTACATTTAAGACATGCATAATGGGTTGTTTAGGAAAGCTTAGGAGGGAACGTGGGTCAACTTACCTGTTAAGCAGAGCCAAAGGTGACGCACTGACCTGAGGGCAAGTGGTCATGTGTAACTTTACACTAAATGTTCAGCTTAGTAGCTACTTGATGGCTACGAATAAACCCAGAGGTACTAACTGTCCAGATACTACAAGTTTTCTCCTTCAAACTAACGGTGGGTAGAGGTTTAAGGTATATTCGTGCCGATCAACAGGCCAGCTGAACTAGTGTAACGTTTGGGTTGTAGACCAGGTCATAAATACAAAGGGTTTGTAGCGTACCTCTTGTAATTTCCTTTGTATTTTTGTCAATCCATCCACCAAACCTGCGGATACAACCTGTGGCATTTTACACCACATTGCACGATTCGGACCAGTTCCGGCTACAGACGCGACAAAAGCTTGCATTTCAGCAGCATCACTGAGACTTCGCACTGGCGATTTTCCACGCAAAGGTGATGTTGGTAAGGAAGAGTACGATCTCGAATTACTCGTACGTGATCTGGAATCTGTTACCACGGGAGGTGGACTTTTTCCTCTTGATTTCTCAATGTGCTCCGATTGGGTGGATAAACGTTCCAATTCTTGACGTTTCCAGGCTTCCAATGCCGTGGTAACGCATGTCGGCAAAATATCAGTTGTCGCATCTGTTTCATCGTCGTCGATATGTGTGAAAATAGTATCGACAAACTCAAGACTGTTTGTTCCACATGCCCCGTTTCCTGAACTCACTCGAACAAATGGCTTTCTTGCCGCTATAGGAAGAAAACACGGAGAAAATCTTTTACGGGATTTACGAAGACATCTGTCAATCTTTTAATTCGTTGGTTCAATGAAGATAATTTATTGACAGCCACAAATAGGAACAAAATTAATTGACCAATGGTTGTGACGAAGCAGCACAAAATCGGACTGTAAATTAGCAGTACAGGAGTGGTGTGTTTTGAGCACCATATGAAAGGAACATGCAGTTATCCTTCCAATAGGTTACATTGACTTTCACACACTGGTCTGTTCATTAAAGATTGATATAATTTATTTTTGAATGACGGCAAACCGATTAATCATACCGCTAAAACTGGCGCATTTAAAAGCAGTATCTCAGCTAATCAACTTAGAGAGTTTGGCAGAATAAATTGAAATAATGCGCGCACTACAGTATGTGCTCAACAGAAGTGAAGATGGCCTGAAGCTGCTGATTTCACTGATAATTCCATACACTCACTTCTTAAGAAAACTTAAATTGACGTATCCGGGCATTACATATTAGGATCTATTAATGTGGAAGAAGAGTGTGCTTCTACACTTAGCATTGAATCATTATAACTATATTATCGTGCTTCTTGACATCAGTTCCTCAGACATTTGGATTGATGCTTCGCTGAACTGCAACTACAGCGACCTATGGAACGAAGCATTATGTGAAGGATAGAAGGGGACCTAGCATAAAACCTGAGCGCCTTAAGCAAGCATTCAGGGTCAAGGCACCTACAACTTGCCAACAGAGAACGGTCACATGCAGCTGGTTTTCATGCAAAATGAGGCGGCAACGAAAAAGCAGTTTTCTTGCAGCCTATGCTGTCTCGTTTCATAATTACCATCAATCACAGTTTAAACAGGCAGTCCGACCACGGGACGACAACAGACGTACCACAGATACCGACTGTGAGTCATGTGCTATAAACTCACGAATAAAGCACAGGGCGGGTCATATGGACTCCAGCCTGGAAGGCACGCCGGTACAACGGCATCCAGATTTGTGGTCAGTGACTTCATTTTCCGTTGCCAAGTCAGATGTTAATCGCCTCGAATATTGCGCCAACCAACATCTGGCAAACAAAGCAAGCATCGCCTTCGTAACTAACAAGTGATCATTCGTAGCACGTACTGGAACCAGCGCAACGTATTCAATGCTATCCTTGGCTTTCAGGAAGTAGCCTGATTATCACTGCCTACTATTCGCCACCGCATATCGTCATCGCGGATACGCTGCCGTCATTCAATCCCAGCAGTGCTCTGCCGGCAGCGGTGCACAGTGAGTTGATGACGTCTCAGCCCCTAGGATCGAAGGGGCACAGCCTCACTCCCATAGAGTAGGACGGCCTTCAAGGGCAAAGGAGAGGGGATAGTGTCTGTCTTTGCGGCTTATCTCATCTGAAAGAACAGCTACCGGCAGCTGAATGACCTATAAGGATAGTTATGGGAAACGTTTAACTCGTTATTTGAGCCAGCAGTGAGCTCAGGGTGTGGAGCCACTAATAAAAACAAACGAGTGCAATCAGCTGACTTATGTGTTTTGAAGTGCAAAAATTGAACGAAGTCGGGGAAACGAAACCGCCTGAACTTATGATGAGCTATTGTCCAGTGGATGGTGTAGGAACATATCTGCAGATGACAGAACTCCAGTGTTATTGCAGTATGTGGTAATTAAGCTGGGAATTATGGAAGGAAGCTCAATAAAGGGAGTCGGATAGGGAGAAGGAGAAATAAGTGAAAACAAAGCTGGTAGGCTTCAGTTGTGGCACATTTTCTCTTATTCTTTCTGCTTTGGGCAACATAAATAAGGCAGACATGGAGACTAGACCTTGACATGTTACGACCATTTATGTGTCACTTCGACCCACTGAGCTATGCTGAGTGATCAAACGTCAGCATGACTCAGTATCGTGACCCTCCAAGCTGGGGTTTGGAAATGGGATGGCGTCAATTTCCGTAAACACGAATCATTGCCACTATTTCGCTACCTTGTGGACAGGCTTTTGAACCAAAGTTTTAGTATGAGGATCCAAATCGCTCTTCCTTCTAGGCTCAGGAGTCCTGTTTATCTTTCTTCCTACGTGCAACCATGGCTATTTCATCCAACTAATTCATCAGGTTTGGTAGATTAAAACCATATGTCATTACATAAGAAGGTAAGTAAATGACGCAGGCACGCAGACAAATTGCGAGATTCTCGGTAGAATCTAATATATACAAGAGGATACAACTAACCATAAACCAATAGGGAAAGTGCCAACCACTGACAAGACAGTCTGGTTGGAACGATGCTTGGCTTACACTCTACCTACCAACAGTGCAGCAGAAATTTAGAAAACACTGTCAATAACACTAACTGTACTCTAGGTCACATTTCCTCAAGTTTTATCGGGGACAAGCTAATTAGTTCGTCAGTATAGAAATATTCTGGAGTGTGACATAGGTTAACCACATACTATCCATAGAAAATGAGGCTAACTGCTGAGGAAGATAGATACTGGGTGTTGCCCTCCTGGAAACAACGCATTCCGTGGTATTTTTCTACTATATTTGGTCTCATCACGTAGATCCAATCAGTCAGTAATAGTTGTGGCAAGTGTTGCCCGTCGCGACTCGGTAGCTAATGGGACAGAGGTTTCCGTTAACATCGCAGTGGTCCGAAGTTCAATGCCGGCTCTCTATCTGACAAGATCAAACATGGTCCAAACGTGTCGTGGTGTGCAGTCGTTTTAGAGTGGCAACACCTATCTACCTGTTTTATGCGTTATGGTCAAAGTGAGCTGCTCGACTTCAAGGGGAGTCTCGGTCTACATTACAAGTGCGCGTCGCAATTCATCCGTGCCACCGGTACCACAAAATGATGCTCTGAGCGACGTGGATAACTGTTGATGTTTTGATGGATAATACAAGGATTCCGTTCGGTAGTCTCAATAAAAGGCGTACGGTACGTTCAAGTATTGATGTTGCAAGATGGCACAGGATTCAAGTATCGTTTCATCCATTTTAGGAAGCTAACGTCCGAATGTATACAAACAGAAGTCAATTAAGATGCGAATAAGTGGGTGGTGCGACTAAGTACCTTTTTGCCAGTGTCTTTCGAATCGGACAATGTTGTCAGCATAGCAGACGGCAAAGGTTAGCTTCTCGGCTACTGCTGTGACCGCAAGGATTGTGTTTTTGATCAACTGGGTCTAGTAAACGCCGTATTTATCTGTGCCTTTGAAAATTCCTCCTTGGTTTGGCGAACAGGATGAGATCAATTGGTTGGTAATAACTGTCCTGTTATACGACACATACTGATAGGTGTATGTATATATACGGCATTTCAAGGCACTTTGCCAGTAAACGCCATCTGTCTAATCCGCCATCTTGATGTAACTCCAGAGTCTTTTGTGACTGTCTTATCCTTTTTATTAGCTAAAATAATTCGACCATCGTCAGAATTATATGTCCATTAGTGCTCAGAACTCTGCAGCAAGCTCGAGTTTGACCGCAGGTTCTTGGCTTTCCCCTAGTAAATGTACTATGCTTGTAAATCCGGAACATTGACATAACTCAAGGTAAATGAACCAAGGGTTCATAAGCTGATTGGCCTTGCATCCTTAGTTATATGGGCCCAAATTTAAGTGAAGCATGAAGAACAGGAAATGGGTTGGCCAAGAGGGCGGGGAGGGTGTCAAAGGGAACTACATTGCCTCCCGTGTTCAATAGTGAGACCAACCAGTGTAACGGTTTGAAACAAGAAAGGAATGACACTCATCAGTAACCCAGTTGATTTCCTTCGTGTATATTCCTTGTGTGACTTCTACGCAATCGTAAATCGGCAGCTCCATTTTTGGAGCAACTTTTGGCTCTTGTTTTTATTTTATTTTATCTTAGATGTAATCACAGTAACATGTGAAATATCCAGAGCAGCTTTCATTTGACTACATTTCATTTAGTCGAGAAGTTAGAGATATCTATATATTGATTAATGACTGATGGCACGCACAGACAGCTAGCGTTTCCAACGTGCCTTGTAGTCAATATGGTTTATTAGATCCTTGAGCTACAGAGACTGCTGCAACGTCTCAAGGACCAAAGTAGCTGATGCCAAGGTGAGAATCAAGACGTATCTGGAATTTTTATGAGGCGCTTTGTAGGCTATGGTACCACAGTATACTCTACATGCTCCAAAAGCATGGCCGTTGCAATCCAACCCAAAGATGGATGGAGAAAATCCTCTACGATTGGTGCTTGAATGAGCACTCTCCGATCCAATTCAAATGGACAACCATGTACCACATGTTTCTTACATGAACCACGTTAATTTGTATCTACCATCTACGTATCAGCTAAACCTGTTAGCTCATCAGCTGACAATTAAGAAAACGGTTGACTATGATATAGCCCACTCATCTCTGCAGAGGACAGTGGCTACCTAAGGTTCAGTGATCAGACCAGACTACGCTGTCATCCAACGTAGACAAGATGAGATTTGTTCAGATAGACCATTGATAACACCACACGTATAGTCCTCGGGTGAACAATTTGAGCTATTTCTTCCTGGGAACGCGGCTCCAGAGTGTTGTTTTGGAACGATGCCGGTACATCGAAACAGTGTGAAACGAGGTACAAGAGATGAACAATGTACAAAGAACAGTGATTTATCATGGGATAAAAGAAAGCGCTTGGGGGATGTAGCCGACGTGTAGGTTTCATCCGTGTTGTACTCGTGAGTTATGATTCACCCGTCTCCTAAGTGATGACCAGTGCCTACACTCGTCCTCGAGTTTGATAACAATGGGAGAAGCATCCCCTAGTCAAACGAGCAACAATGGATACCAATTAGCCACGTAACCTTGCAAACTAAGGAAAGTCGATGAGACGCAGTTTACTTGGAGGATGCTTCTGAACTCTGCGTGCTAACGTCCTAATCGAGCACCGGATATTGAGTACTTCGAATAGCATGAACTGCCACTAGCAACTCAATGGTAGTGCTGACCACTTCACCAGCTGGAGTACAGTTACGATAAATTTCCCGTTCCCCGACTGGACACGTATTCTCAAAAATTTGTTGCATATAGGATTCATTACCTTACAATTTGTTATATAAAACATGTAGCGTTGTAATTCCCTTTCTTGAACAAACCTTATTGTACCTATCGTATCACACGTACGCGCAGAAGTAACTCAGGCGGGTGAGAAACTCCTGTCCTCTAGTATACATTAAGTATGAGGACTCCGTATGCGATGCTGCATTCTGTGAGTGAAATAGCAACTCACGTATCCATTGGGGCATACGAAGAATTCAAACTCTTTCCAGTAATACAGTAAAACCTCGAAAGTTAATCACTTCTATATCCTGACCACCCGTTTTATTTGACCGTTCTCCTTTTCATTGCATGAATCTTATGGATCCAGACCTTGTGCTGTTAACCACCAATCTATGTTGGTTCATTTTGGTCCAGTCCTTTGAGCGGTCAACTTATGGCGGTTTTACCCAATTTGACTATTTCCGTGCCTTGCGTGCACGAACAGTGATGTACGAAACAGTTTACTCCTCAGTGCATTGAAACTGTAGTTCCTCACTCGTGAAGCAGACCACATGCATAGTGGCAAACGTGACCCCATTCTTCGACAGTGAATAAGGTGGGAGATAGAAAAGTACAATGTAGTGTAGAAGAACAACACCCACCATGGTCCCGTTGGATGGATCGTTCAGTGTATACTTGATATAAGGGCGCATCTTTGAACATTGATTGATAGCGTTGTCTTCGTTCAAATTTGCTTTCAGCATCCTGTAACAGAAAGCATACTTATAACCAGGAGCACACTAGCTAGAATTTGGAGATCTTTACGCAGGTTGAATGTATCGAACAGTAGTAAGGAAGAGTATGGCGTACAAATTTCTATGTGTATTCCCGCATCCAAATCTCATTGTGGTTATGTAGGTTTATAACTAGGGGGAAAAGATTTATCATGCTGCGGGTCTTGATGCATAGTGGATGCATCGTCGAACTATACGGAGCTTCGCCGAACTTTTGCGTAGTGGTATGTGAGAAGAATATCAATAGGGGAATTTTCCTCGTTGAATGCAAACCAAATTGAGAAAAGGACACTGATTCTTATTAAATCAAATGAGTTCGATGGCATACAACAGTAAGGCGAACTCTACGGATTTCGAATGTTCGGCTGTATTTTGAAGGCATGACTTTATTACGACCGTATTCAGTGAGCGGAGAAAGTCTACCGTGTTGAAATGTATGCACCATAGCCGTTACACCTTACGTAAAGCCTTGTGCATTCACAAGCTACTCTGACAGGAGTTACCTGTTCTTAAAATGAAACATTAGGTGAGGGAACAGGAACTAGTAGGACAAGGTCAATTCACTTAATGAACCATGACACGAACACCAAGTGCCATCATCATGGTCACCGTACTGATAGCCTCAATTAAATACAGAAGACAAGGATATACAATAGAACTTACAAATAGAGACGTTGGTAAATATTCGTATTCTTTAGGTGGAAAATAACAAACTGAACGCTTGCAAAGATAAACATGCGGAGGCCAATGTAGGAGGACCGTAATCTAAAAGACGACATAAGCCGACTCGATGCATTCCGCCAGTCAAAAATTTTAACTTCTTTTATAGTGTCATATTCAGTTCACTGCAGGGTTTCGCAAGAACGGTGTGTATTTTCGGCACAAGCACGCCTGATGTGTTAGGTTGTGGGTAGCGTTGCGGCGGACGTCATTAAAGTAAGTCAGACGACTGCTGGTCATCAACTCATCGCCACGCCAAATGGACTGTTAACAAGCACAAGTTGGAGCCTTCGTATTTCTCACCTGGTAGTAGCCAACAGATTGTATTAGTACTTCGTAGACACTGAAGGCTAAAGACGGGTTCTCTTAGTGTAATCAACAACCCTGTTCAATTCCGCGCGACAAACTAGGTTGATATCTGGAAATTCTTCGGGTAAGTGATTTGCTCTTTGACATTTAGTTAACATATCAGCCGAAGATAGTTATGTAACATTTAGTGCATTTCGTAATCAACTTACATCCATCCTCTGTGGAAAAAATTTGTCGGAGTTAAAGACAAGCCGAGAAGAGCGGGAAAATCACACGGCACTTAATAAATCTGTTATCAGCTCGGCTGCGACTACAAGGTAGATCAAATAGCAGATAAGAATAACGCAAGCTTATAGGAGCATACCTTAGCCATACGCCAATGTGATCGGAAATTACGCATGTCAGTGCAAGTGGATGCAGTGACTCGTTATTGTGATCTTGATAGAGCTCAGCAATTAATACGAACAAGAAGACTCTAGACCCATGCAAACTTCGGAGATTGGTACTCGGGCTAACAATCGGGCAAGGAGCACTCGGACCTAGGGATGTCTATGAAACTCGACGGAAGTCGTACGGTGCATCTCGCATAGATAAGCAATGAAACACCATCAAACAAATCATTCAGTAAGGAATTAATCCAGGGTCCTTGAAAAGTGCTAAACCAGCACTCAAACGTATTCAGAGAACAGGAAGGTTTGAAAATCCTCACTGAGCTAATCGCTTAGTGCATGATTGCTACACAAAACAATTAAGCCAGTGAGGTTTGATCCCCTGTGCGTACAGAGAATCAGGCAAATTAACGGTGCGGTATATTTCACTGTTTGTTCAGGTCAGCGTCTCAGCTCAGTCATGCGGCCGCTCCACGCATTTTTATACCGAAATGTAAAAAGTAAAGCGTGCAGTACTCCAGTAGTTTATCCAATAGTTTGCAAATTGTCTTGAAAAAGCCTACAATCACCCCATCAAAGTGGGCTAAGTTTGTCAATAATCTGTGTGACAGAAAACAGATAAGAACGGTGTGACCACATGTTCATCAAGGATATTCTGTCAATAACATCAGAGGAATTCGAAAATCAACAATCCTGTGGCAAACACCACAATCGTGCAAAGAGCTAAACGTAGAATGAAAATTGTCTAACACAACACTGCCATTAATCGGGTCGATTCGAATGAAAGGACAAGCATCATACAAGTCGTAGACTACTGTTACAACGGTTGGCATGGAACCACAACTCTACGTAGAACGCAGTATTCGGCTTGTAGCGTAAGACAGCAGAATATGTCAGTTTTGCCATACTCAAAAATAATTGCCGACCACCAAAGACAACGCTTCACACAATTTAAAACTGTTCAATCAGTGGTTTGCTTGGCGTTAAACTGACGCGCACGGACGCCGGTGAGTCCAGAAAGTGAACTCGGCGCGCGCAAATGTCACATTCCTCCTCCATTCAGTTGGAACTACCCCAGCTCGCTTGGTATCGATCGACTGGTCGGTGTATTTGGCCTGAGTGTCAACATTGCGGAGTCGGTGGTTAATTGGCATTCTGCATACCTTCCAACTCATTAGGCGGACTGGTCGACTGGCGGGACCGAAACGGAGCGGGGACGGTCATGATACTTGTGCCGAATGAGTACCCTGCCGTCTGGTAGAGTCTATTCCGTATTTCGCCCCGCAACTTCAAGCAGTTCTCCAGGCTTCCAGTTCGTTTCGTTATGAAATCTGACCTAAACAGGTTAGTCTCACAGAGCTGTCGATCGTACGCACTTCGGTCATACTCGGCCTTAGAATTTTCTTGTTTGAGCTCGACACGTAACCTCGGATCGGGAAATTGCAAGTCTAGCCGTGTCCTTAGTCGCCGCCCGAACTATAGTTCGCCGGGACATTTATGAGACGTTTGCTTAGCGTAGAGCCATAACAAAAAGAACTTTAACTTTATTCACAGTGAAGCCGGCATTTGTTTTCATAACTTATGGTTGACCGTTTGGATCGTTAATTCGGCTGATCCATTACAAATGAATGGTAAGGGAATGACTTCACATCACTTATGCCGATGCTTTGCAGAATCTCCTGAAACAATTGACCAGTAAAAAGGAACCCATTGTTTGTCACTAGCGTATGTGATCTACCGAAGGTTGTGAAGCACATTTGCATACACGAAACAGTAGTATTTGACGTCACTGGTGTTAGCAAATACCTTGAGCCATCTCAAGTAGACATCAGTCAAGAGAAGAAACATATTTCCGTCGAGCGGCTAGAGAAGTCAGGGTTGAAACGCTCCCATGGTTTACTTGTCTATTTCCATAAGCTGTGCGGTATCGGAGGGGCGAATCTTTGTGCGCTTTGGCAGGCGTGCAGTGTCGGATTAACTCTTCGATGTCTCTGCCAATATTGATTCGCCACACAGGATCGCGGAAGTACCTACATCCTCGTGGTTCCCGGGTGAGTTTCGTGTAATAGTCGTAGAAGATCTCTCTGTAACCGGGGTGGTATGGTCGTTCTCGATCCGCAGAGGAGACAACCTTTTTCGAAACTGAGCGCGAAGCGTCGAGTAAAGTATGATAGCAGCTGCGGATAACATTTATCAAGTTACCCCTGTGTCTAGTAGCCCTCCCTAAATCAGGAAGAGTGCTCCGTGTTCACGATGTCGTTTGTGAAGATTACGTATGCATATTCATAGAATATATGCATTATTTGTGAGAGCTCATTCTACATGTTCACCCCTGTTATTTGTTTTATGACGCTGGCTCTGTTTCCATTGGTCTCCGCTTGTTCGCAAAGTTCATCCTGCTTGGAATTACTTCTAGCCGCGATGCTGACTTTCTGGATGGATTGTACGATTGGCTCAGTTGGTTACTCGTCCAGCTGGTCACACGCCTCTTTGGCTCAAGTGCGTACAGTCTATTCGTGGCCTGGCAAACCAATCCGCATCTCACGGGTACACGCTTTTTGCAAGACTGAATCGACCCTTTGCATTTAGGACGCGCTGACGACTGATCGCTCACATGCACACTCAGTGGATGTTATTTCAGTTGGCTGGCTGTCATCGCAGAGCTCGACGTGGGCGCGCGCAAACCAATCGCTGCTCGAGTGACCAATCCGCTTCCAGTGACATGCTCACTTTCCTTCGGGATAAGTTGCATCTGTTCGGTACTCCGCGAAATGTTGCGCGGCGTTCTAGTGACCATCTACCTACTGGTATTATAACTTTTACACTCACCATTGGTTTCAGCCTTCATCACATCCTGGGAGACTAGACGTTTGACCTTGGCTACTAATTGGTCCCGCTCGGTTTCTTGACGGATATCTGCGCTTAGCAGGTGGTTTCCATCTATATGCCGTAACAAATGAACCAGTTCAGTAGGTTTCAGTACACAATCGGCTAGCTGACTCAACAGGAAACGGTTCAGAGCGTCAGCGACTCCATTCGATTTCGCAGAAACGCACATGATTTGTAGTTGTGGGCCGAAAGTAGTAAAGCCCAACGTCAATGTATATGATCCATACAGCCGCGATGTTGACGAAACCCGACTTGCTCCTCGCGAATCTGACTTTCAAGTCTATGAAGAATAACATAGGCGAGTATCATTGAGGGAATTGAAGCCAGACTGATCCCTCTATGATTGCCGCATTCCTAGCGTGAGCCTCCCTTGAACATTGGGACAATAACGGAGCGGCTCCAGGCTGCTGGGACAGCTTCATGCGCCCATAGCTTCAAAAGTATGTTGCGCTGATCAAATACAAGAGCTGGCTACCGAATGTGAAGAGCTGAATTGATTCTATCCGCTCCTGCGGCCTTATTCACTTGCAAAAGTTTGATCTCATGCTCGACTTCTGTGCGTGAAGACGGGTCCAGGGAAACCGCCCAGGGAGATCGGCGATTAATGGCCGATAGAGAAGCTGTTAACTTTATTCACTTACGCTGCTTTTCAGTGCTCATCCAA